AATTAATAGCTATTTTTAAATATTCTATTGTTTATATTAAATACACATCTCGACGGAACATAGATGTCGTTGATCTAAATTCTTCGAAGTAGAGGTCGCTACAGAGATATAGTGATTATAATGATATTATTATAATACTATAAATAAATAAATAAATAAGAACTTTGTAACTTCAATAACTTTTTATAAATTATAATAAATTATACAATGATGCAGTTTACAGTAAAAATAGATAAATGTTTTCAACAAATGTTAGTTATGGAATGAATCGCTAATTCTAAAATGGAATCTATATATACATCTCTATAAACAAGTAATCATGGTAATAACATTTCCATAGTAATAAATAAACTATCAATTTACAATTTATAATGTCGATTTACAGGAATCGTACTTTCGACAGGATGATTGTATAGATGGCGTTACTGTAGATTTTGGAGATATATCGGTCGCTACAGAGACAAACAATGTGCTACCTTCTGTTGGATTTTGTCTCTTTATCCTTTTAGTTCTAATTGTGTGGCGCTCAAATCGCAGCACTATTTATAAACAAGGAGCGCAATAATGTGCGACAAGGACGGATATATACGCTGAGACAGACAAAGAGATTAATGTATGTGACGAAGACAGAAATAGCGATAAGTTCCACCATTTCACCGCTACGCGGCTCTAGTATTTTAATGTCCATAAATCGATGGAATTTTTATTAATAAAAAAAACTAATAAAATATAATAATTTGTGAACTTTTATGATTGCGTTTTCAAAATCAAAACCCTCAGCTTTTTTTCGATCCCTTTAATTTATAATATTTATGAATAAAGATTCTACGCAATAGATCGAAGCACTCGAGTAATATTTAATTTAATATAAACCTTTATTTAATTGGGAGAAAAGAATATATAGTTATATTTTTACGATTTACTATCTTGATCAGAAAATGATCAATACTTAAAATTTCGATAGCTATTATCCCTTTTTTCTCTTGAAAATTGTTATAGGAGTGCGATGTAATAACAGAAAACATTTATTAAGAAAACTTCATTTATTTACATTCTAAATTCAAAAATTAAAATAAAATATCTTTAAATTTAATTTTATAATTAACTTTAAACGTAGATGTATGTCGTATACTTCAAATAATTCGTTCGAACGTAAATAGTTTCATAAACTTTCAAATATGAAGTATGAAGAGGTTCGAAATTTAAATTTACGTTAAATTTCATAAAAAAGTAAAAATTCTTCGTGTATTTGTATTATTCATATCGTTAATTATAATAAAAAGAAAGTATAAAAATCTCCCTACAATCATTTAATGCCGAATTAATGCTAATTAATTTATTGAATACGTTGTATAAATACAACAATGATATTCATTTATTTCACAATTTTATTTATATTTTAGAGCGATAATATTATTTTCAAAATATATATTCCTTTTGACAGATTTAACTATAGGAAAAAAATGATCTAAGAATGGTACAAGTGTTCAATATTTTACGACTTTTTTATTGAATGTTTCTAACTGTTATTGAGAAACAATGTGGTGTCCGTCATACATATTATAAACTGGTCTTGTATTAAAATTTTTTACACGAACGTAACCAATGATATTCATATTTCCTTCGTAACCATACTTTTTGTATTTTTTTTCTTTTTTTTTTTTTTTTACTTTTCACACAAACCTGTACCACTCACTTATGGCGACTGTGATAAATACGTATATTTTGCGTATCGACTTGATGTAACATTTGTCACGACTTATTTAGGAAACTTTCGAGTGATTAATGAAAAATTTCGGATAATGATCGTAAGTAGATTTATAAAAATCTTATTGATATAAAAAACATTGTTGCTGATAGAATAAAAATCGAGTCATATAATTTACCAACTTTTAAAGGGGAACTTGAAATTTTTCCACCTTCAAATCACTATTTTGTATGAATTTGTATCATTAACATATGTATATCTATACGAATCTCTGTCATAATCTGAACGAATAATTGTCCAAAGACGGAAAAATGATTTATTCTAATTGCGAACTAGTAAACCTGTGACCGGTTTTTATTCTGCTTAAAGTGTAATCTTGTTTGTAAATTATAAGTTTGTTCGTATATTATTTGTTTGTATTGTAGTTTCGATTTCTATTTTCTTTGGCAATAAGAACAACACATTCGTCTTATCGTTAAATTTATGAAATCATGTTAAAGCAATTTGCACAGTTTTCAATGCTTTTAGATACTCAAAATATACGAATACTTGTTACTTTTCGAAAATTTGATTCGATTACTATAAATCTCGCGCATAATCAAAATTTGGTCCATGTCCATCGATAATTAAAAGTTATGAGTGTCTGTAAATGTGTTATATAGATGGTATTTAAAATTGATCATCTAGGCTACGTATTTTTTTAAAGTAATATGCAGTTTCATTTAATAACAGAATAAAATTATTGATTAATTTTTAAATGCTTATCAATCAGCTCTAAGTTTTATTAGATCCACCGAATATGTTCAACGTGCCATGAGTAGGTACAGCTGTGTTATTACATGAAAATATTTTATTTTTTTAGTGAAACTTCTCAAGTCTTGGACAAGACAACACACATGACATTTAATCATTTAAGTTTTCAATGACGCACTGTAGGATCAAATCATAGGCCTCCTAACAATAGATAAATAGGTGTATAATTATTAAGTTGTAGAGATCTATAACGATCTGAAATATCATCAAATTAAGATTGAAATTGATTTTATACAATGTCGCAAATAGATAATTTAATATTCAGTGTTGAAGATCTACTATGTATGTATATGATTTCTATTACTGATAATAAGTTCTTCCCAAGTTTTCCCAAACTAAAATTCTTTCCTTTTAAATGAGCAATTCATCAAGAAATGTATTATTCATTTATCGAAGATTCATCAGTAATAACTTTAATATTTAATGTCCTTATTTCTCTTATAATGAATATTTTATTCTTTTTAATATTTTTTCATAAAAATGTATAAGTTTGTTCAGATGACTATAAAGCTCTACAACTTGCAAACCAAGATCATGTATCATGTATTTTTAGGATATTATTAAGTAGGTATAGGTAGACATTGCCTATATACAATTGCAACAATGTTGCATGTGCCTACTTTCTGGCAATCCTAAGTAAAGCTTACAATTTGAATAGTTTTTTTTTTTTTGGATAATTATGTCTTTAATAAGTAAGTAATAATTCTATTAGAAATAACAGTACAGCGTTTGAACTGTTATTATCCTGTATCCATTTACATGTTATATTTTCTAGTTTTAAAGTATTCTCATACAACTCCTGTATGTTTTGGTTCTGAGAAATAATTAAGATAATTATTTTACTATTATAACTGGCCAATAAGTATCTGCCACTTTTCTTATATTATTAATCTATTTATCATATATACAGGTAATATACAATAATCTCGCTTAAGATACATTATTATATTTTCAATAATATTATAATAGTTATATGAATAGAAACTTGACCGCATCTAATTCATCAATGTGCGCTATTGTTGCACATTGGAATATAAATACATTTTTATATAAAATTTGTATAATCTACATGAATCATTTTAAGTATATCTTTTCTTTTAATCACAAAAGATATAAATGTAATTATTACTACGCAAGCTGGGGGCCATGGGCGGTTTCACTCTGGCAGTAGTATCATAGATATAATTCTAAATCTGAAGTTTCGTAAAACGAAAAATCAGTATTTTTGAAAATTTGTGCTAATTCTGATATATAGAATTTATTTTCTAATACTGATGCTTCATGTAAAAGTTGATTCGTTCTAAATGTTTGATTTTATTTAAATTTATTATTTGTGTTTCACATTTTGTGAACTTAAGTGTTAATTTGCTTGTTTTAATATTATAATGCTCCTCTGTAAAAAATAATCACTAAAATGATACGTTTATTAACATAATTATTAATACATATCTTCTACATTAAAATGTGAAAATAAATCCTATATATATATATATATATATATAAACATACATATGTATATAGGTTTCGATGTATCTTTAGAGTTTTGTATATTACGAAAATATTTTATTATTCTTGTCAATTATGTACTTTTGATAAATTTTTAAAAATATTCCTATATTAAAAAAAAAAAATACAAAAATTCTTTTATCAAATGAGAATAACAGTTCATCGATAAATTCAATATCAATTTATAATTTTTTAAAGATAAAAATTTGTTTAAAAATCAAAGAAATATTTCGAACATAACATAATGTAATATTTTTAATATATGTATCTTTACAAAAACTCAAAAGATACATCGTGTTAAATATGATTCCCAGTGTGAAGCCCGATATGCCCGCAATTCTCTTCTTCATCTGTTGTCACTAATCATCTAAAGGAAAGGAACACTATATGCGCTATTATCCATCAATAAGCAGGGTAATTCACAACAGATGAACGTCTTATCTATTTTTTTTTTTTTTTTTCGATTAAAACTTATTTACAAAAGTTACTGTACAATCGTAGTTCTGTTGTGATGTAGGTCCATCATAGCCTTGAATGCGAGTAGACCGGTTCTGAAGTAAAGATTATATTGCAAGGAAATCTTTAAAATGAAGAAATGTGCATTTTGTCAAGCAAATATTCCAAACTCATAAAATTGTTATAATTTTCAATGGTATATTAATAGCAGTAGTAGGTTAATGAAATTATTCCAATGCTGTGTACACATTGATCTCAAAAGCCCACCTCTTTTCGATATAAAATTATATAAATGTGCTATACGATTTTGTAAAATCTATTAATAAAAATTTATCAATTTTATTGTATCAAACATAACATCAATTATATATAATTCTATCCTATGGTAGATTTTCTGAATATTGTCTGTGTAAAAACTTATTTCGGAATTTAAAAATGGATAAATGGCAATGTATAAAAAATGTATGTAAATATATCGATCGTATTGCACATTTATCTCGTATCAGACAAATATTTCTCCATAATATTACTCTATATGTTCGTGCAAAATATTATTCTATATTTAATATTAAAAAATTGGTTTTTTTTTGTTTCATTGTTTTTTCTTTTTTTTTTCTTTTTTTTTTTTAACACAATATAATTGTGGTATAACTGCAGTGGTCAGTTCTGGAACATATGCCCGACATAATGTTACATAACGTGTTTCTATGGGAAATAAAAATTTTCAACATCAAAAGACTAAACATAATCCATGCAATAACATCTTTACAAATAAGCACTATTACGTGGTGCTTCGTTTCGTCTATTAATTAAAAGTTATTATTTTTAAATCTAATAATATGCCCTAATTTTGTCAGTAGGAATAATATTATAATTAGAGCTAAGACTTTTGTACCATTGAATAGTTGAGAGCACCCAACAGTGACCCCAATACGTTTTTGAAATCGCTCACTACAAGTATTTTCATTCGATCAGAAATATATTTGTAGTAGGATGCAAACCCGCCGACATCGTTTTCTTTCTTGCGTCAGGGTCGCAATTTGATTATTTCTCTTACAAGGATGCCTGTCTTCTTTTATTCAAAAAGTGCTAATATATCATCGCTTGATGAGGGGTTACCACTGCTAGCGCCGCTGCTGGGAGGGGTATTCAGATCTGGTGGATCTAGATATGAAAGTAGTTCCATTGGATCCACAACATTATCCGGCAAGAGCTATAATATAACATAATAAAAAATTAATATTACATGAACATACAGGATTACTTTATAAATATTACGAAAATATAAATTATTGCTTACATTCAGTGCTTCTTGACCTGTACCCTCGCCATCTATTACCGCAGCTGGGTCAAAATTCAAATCTGATGGTATATCTGTAGTATCGTTGGTTATGTTTGTATTCGTATTACCAGATGTGTTGAGGTTTCCAGTGGATTCTTGGGATGCAGGAGGAACACTTGGTGGACCACTATTCCCACCACCTGGCGTATGTGGTGTATGAGGAGTATGAGGTGTATGCGGTGTGTGAGGCATCTGTAAAAATAAAGAGAAAATATTTAATACTTATCTACGGAAATGATTCAAGTTATAGAATAATTCTGAACTTAACACGTACTTGATCGTTAAGCGATTTCTCCATAGCATTAAGAGGATCTAAAGAGTTCACCGATTCATTTAAGTGCGAAAGAGGTCCCCCTCCATTAGTATAATCATTATTGGTATTCGTATTCGCTCCAGAATTAATATCGAAAGATCCTCCCGACGAATTCCGATGATTGATATTGTTGTTACCGTACGTGGTTGGTGTATTATTCATCATAGAACCACTTACGATGCTGCTCATATCAGGCGGTATGTACGGACTCATTGCTTGATTCATATCCCAGTTATTCATAGTAGGCATATTCATACTTCCAGGTGACATTGCCTTTGTCATTCTCTTACAATCGCTTTCTTCTTCAGATTTAATACCAGTCAAGTTTTTCGCTGGTTTCCAATTCGCCATTGAATCTATCGTAACCTCTTCCACTTCCGCAGTATTTAAAGTGTTTAAAATGCCCCACATATATTGATCAACTTCTAAACCTTCTAATTGTGCAGGTTTCCTACATAAGATAGAAACAAAGTTATTTGAAATTTGAACAAAACATCTTTAGTTTTGTAATCGAATATATAAATTGTTGAAAAAAATTACTTACGTGCACACAGGACATCGCCAAGATCCTCGTTCACAATTTAATTGCAAATATGACTCCAAATCGAAGCATTGAACATGTTTACAATCATGTCCTCTAGCTGGCAGTGTAATACGTTTAAAGGTAATAGGACATTTTAAAGATACCTGCAATAAAGAAATTTGTAGGATGAATATAATGTTTAAAACAATGTAAACACATTATTTTTAAATGCAATATTAAATATCTACCTTAAGTGCAGTCTGTTCTACGACATCTTTCTCCGACTGTATGCCGTTATTTGAAATAGTATTATTGAAATTCCGTTTAATTTTAGTAATACAATGTTCCGCCGTAAGTAGCCTTTTACGTAACAATCCGTGAAGTACGCTTCTCACACTTGGTCGATGAACTAATTGAAGCACGAACAAATGGGACTGCAAATACAAAGAAATTTGATTATCGTTCGTAAACATTGAACATTAATACTGTGAATATAACACTAAAGTAGAAAACTTACACAACAACATGCTGATACTGTAATTTGTATCGTGTTTCTTCCAGGTTGACAAACGTCTTTCAGATATAAGGGCTTATGAGACGTTTTATTCTCACCACGATCGATAACTAAAGGCGTAGCATTCACGGAGACTTGTACGCTCGCTGGCCAATTTGTGTTCATTTGCCTATCTTCGTGGTGGAAACATTTGAGTTGCAGTTCCAGATCAGACCGCCACATCAACGTTTGATGCACCGTGGGTTTTAATTGAAAAACGTGGTTGCTTACAGCCAGATTATGTTCTAACCGGAAGGGTGGAAGAATAATGCCATCCCTCACGGGGAATGTTAATCTTAACTCATCATCCTCTGCGCAAAACACAAAAAAAGTAGGTTGTTAATATTTTAGTTTATTTATTTATTTTTTTTTAACTAAATGATCAAAACATCTTCAATTTAATTTAACTTACTCTGAATATTAACCGGTGATTTCATTTCGTTGAAATTAGGTTTGATGTCTGGATTTGGACTAATATAAGGAGGCATACTGGTTGCCGGTGTCAAAGGGGGAGTCGGATTACCAGGGATAGGACTGTGTTGGTAATTTAAACTACCAGCGCCTGTCGTTCTCATTGACGCAACCTCTTGCTGGTATTGACTCGTTGCAGCACCGGCTCCACCATACGAAGATGTGCTACCAGCGTACCCTGAATTTGGTTGATGGCCAACGAACTGGTTTCCAACAGTCGTAGGTCCCATACTAACCGGTATACCGTTGCTACCGTAATATTGGTTGTTCGTCGCTTGATTAGCGGTATTGTAAGAAGGCGCAGTTTGTCTCATGTTATTACTCCGTATCATGGAGTTAGGCCCAAAGCCAGCAGCCGATGGATTCATACCCTGCATAGGTTGATATTGAGGTTGAAAATTCGGCCTCACTGCACTAGGGTAATTGGTCGGATACTGTGACGATGTCATGCCGTTAAAGGCTGGCTGCATCGCAGCCGGATTAGGACCCGCGTATGGCCCCTGTTGCCTCTTTTGCGCCATGTGCATTGCGGGGTTTGGATAAGGCGCTAGTCTCCTTGTATATCCTTGATGAGGTTGAGCCTAGAAAATAAATTTCTCCGTTCTCTCATTCATTCCTCAGATTCAGGAGAAGCTAATGGTTTAATCCGCGTTCGCTTAAATTATAAAGTGAATTCGGTAACTTCACGCACCTGCATGTTTATTTTGTTCATTTGCATGTTGTTGGGTCCCATCATATTGTTCATGCCCATATTGCCCATGTTACTCATGGAGTTCATGGGGGTCATTCCGTTTACACCATTCATACCGTTCATACCTCCCATTGACATAGGATTCACTGGGTTCATGCCATTCATACTGTTCATCGAATTCATGGAATTCATAGGGTGCATTGGGCTCATCGTGCCCATGCTATTAAAATTGCTCATCCCGACTGGCCCCATTCCGGCCATTGGTCCTCTTTGAGCATACCCTGCGTTGTACGATTGGTGGGGTATTCCATGTTGACTCTGCATCTATAATCAACAACAAATAGTCACGTTATTTAAACAGTTTTTTTTTTTTTTCTTTCTTTTTAACAAGACAATATTGTGAAGTGAAGGAACGATAATTCAGAGTATCAACAGATGAAGAGCTGTCAGAAAAATCAATGTAGGAAGGAAAATAGTACCTGATTAAATTGAGGAGGGATGTCTTGGCGGTCCTGCATGGCCACCACGCTAGCAGTGGCGGTGGCCGTAGCGGTGGCAGCTGCCACCATCGCCGCGGCACTAAATGTCGAACCACCACCTCCGTTCTGGGGTGGCACCGTGCTATGATAGCCGGACGATAACACGGGCTGCACCCCAACGCCGATCGCCGCCGTTGTTGATGATTTTCTTGAAACTAGTTCCAATAAAAATGACAAATGGATGTCGCGTGCTGCGGGCGTTTCAACGAAAAATCAGGATACTGCAAAAAGGACAAAACCAAAATGTTATCTTTATGATTAAAGATCGAGTAAACCATAATTTTTGCAGAATAGATAGCAATCTTGTTTCAGGAATAATTTTCTCGCAATCCTCGGTAAGAGGGAGAAAATTACATATCTATTCACTGTCTTTATCATTATCAATATCTATTCACTCGAGATATTAAGCTCAGGATGCTAAGTGAGATCATTTGAAATCAAGTAAAACAATTCGATTGGAATTCAAGCAAGCAATGTGCATTGAATAACGTCCGACTAAAATTTGTCTTGGAAAGAAAAGGTAAGATATTGACCAAAGACATGTGATATTAGTAAAATAAATTTAATTGAAGAACAAAGTCAATATGATTGTAACATGAACATCTCTTTGTAAGTTCAAATTCATGTTCCAACTATTCTGTACGACTAATCGATTGTTTCCACGATGCAGCAATAATATATGTAAGTTATTCATGATCACTGAATTATTTGAGAAGGTCGTCAACTTAAATCGCGCATCGCGTGGTCACTATTCGGGAACCACGCCATTATCGGCGCAATTTTTATCAATAATTTATAGATTATAATCATAATCATCGCAATTGCTAATGCTAAATTGTGTTCAATCATAAAATTTCACGGAATTCGTTTCTGATAATTAGAAATAAAAAATAGTGCGCAGCACTAGACACATTACAATATTCGAGATAGAGCTATCTCGGCTTGTTTAAACCAGTACGTAAAACTCTTATCGCCACTGTAAAAGAGGAAGAAAAGAAACGAAACAAAAATTGAAAAACAAATGATAACAATTGAAATTTGTTAAATAATTTTTTAAACAAAATTGTCAACTTATTATTAAATATTTTCTATTTAAAGGAGAGAAGAAAAATTTACGAGGAAGGAAAAAAAGAGAGAAAAACGAAGCTGGAGTTTTTTTTTTTTTTTTTTTTTTTAAATTTCTCTAACGTCTTCTAATTCTCTTCTAAAAATCGATTTACCTGCCAGGAGCGCTTCAAAGCCTTTTCTCATCTTACAGGCACAGAATTACATATAAGATATAGGAAAAGAAGTCGGACGCTTTGTCGTGGTCCTTCTATCGATACATTCCAGGCCCTGAACATTGTTCGTTCTTTCGAGTAGCCTTCGTTCTCGTTTCTGTCCTCGTTTTGAGGCGCGCATACCCCAAAAGATCGAAAGACCGAACCCTGCGCGCACCGTTCATATTCCCAGCTGGCCAAGGCCCCTATTGGTTTTCTGTGGGAAATGCACGTGCTCGCTATTCACACACTGCTGCTGCTCTCTGCGCTTATAATACCGTTCTGCTACAAACACCGCTTGTCGGTGCAATCGTGTCCCGGGAATCAACGCGCTTTGCACGATCATTTTCGACTTGTGCGATACATCCAGATGGGAAATATCTCAGCGGCGCCGCGGAATCTTTTCAGCAAACGGAAATATCACCGCTCAAGTGCAAAATCAACAAGTCTATCTGATTCTTTTTCATGAAACGCTATTTATTACTTCCCATTGCTACTGTTTGACGGTGTATGTCTTTTTCACTAACGCGGATTGTTCGAGTTCAATTGTGGGACTTAGGCTGGATATTTTTAATTAATTATTACATATTATTATACGTGTCTTCAGTATTATATCATTGCATTTTCAATTTATTATTCCTTTACGATAATTGAAATAATTAGTTCATTTTCTATAAAACTACGAACAATCGATGTTTACCAGAGGGGATGGCAGAGGTTCTAAATAAAATGTCTCGTGTGGCTTTCGAGTTGCGCTATAAAGCGGAGGAGGTACAGCTATCTAGTAGATCGTGCGATTGTAAAGGAATTTAACTTGGAACAGCGACGATACTCGAGGGAAAACTACTTAGAGATGTAAAAGAAGTCACGAACAAGGGTATATGATGACCATTGTTCTGCATAATGTTCGAAACTCGGGGAACCACGTGAAAGAGTGCACCGTGTGTATCGTAGCGTATCCTTCGCGATATCGCGTTACCACGTGCACCGTCCACATTCTTGCGCATGCTCGTGGAAATTCTATAAAACGGCTGGGCAATTTCTGCGCAAAAGCACGAACATCCCCTGCCCTTTAATTTTATCGCGTAAAGAGTTTGAATATTTTCAATTCCGTACGAATTTAAACGGATAGATTACTTTCGCGCGTTCGTTCATGCGCCTAGGTGGCGCTGTCTGCGCGGCTTTCTTATGAATTACGTTTAACATGTACTAAAAATTGTACACAAATTTTTAATTATTATTACTATGTATTATCATTTCTAGTAGTTGTTATTGTATTTTATTGTTTTGGGGAAAAATATAACCTCAATTACACAATTTTACTTCTGTGGAAAGGACAAAAGATCTCATACACATTTGGTTAAAATTTACGTTTCGATAGTGTGAAATTATGTTCACTCATCATCGATGACCTTGAATTTAACTTCGATAGAGTCATTTATAGAGTGAGCAATCGGTCGATTTGATAAGATACCAATTTATGGACATTTGCTTTTCATTCCGAGTTATAAGATAACGATTTTAACTTTTAGCATACAGAACGATTGTAAATTATTATTTGAAAATTGTAAAGATAACGTCTACTTCGTGCTTGTCGTTTACATCGATGCAATAAAATAATTTTACTGTCTGCCCGTTTGTCGAAAACGATTTAAAATATTATTTAGAAGTTCGAATATATTCTACAAATATTTTACAGTTAAAAAGTCTTTGTATTATATCATATTCTCAGATATAAATTTAATGACAATTTAGGAAAGCTATGATTGTTTAGCACGAATTCTATGGAATAAAAGTGACATAATTAGTACACGAAAGGAACGTCTTCGACTGTTGGAAGTAGAAAAAAAAACAAAGATCTCGTTAATCATTTGCTAAACAATTTTTTTCACACTCACTTGACCCTAGGTGGTTTTCAAAGTCAACGGAAGAGGGGGAGACGCTTCTTCCTCTCGCCACTAAAACGAAAGAGAGCCTTCTCCCCGCATGCGTGTGTCGTCGAGACGCGATTATGGCGCATCGAACAAAAACAAATTTCGAATAATAGCCCCGAATTCAATACGCCGCCAATAAAGAAATCATCCATATGATCGTTTATGTATATACATACATTGTACACATGATTTAGTCTACAGGGCGTTCATAGAAGAAAATAAAAAAAAAAAATTGTATCAACTTGTAAAAATATTATCCAATATATTGTTTTCTAACGTATTTTTAGATTTGTTTCCTGTAATATATTAAACTGTTTCAAATTACTTTACAATCCAAATCTTTCCACACGTTGCAAAATTTTCTTATTGAATCAATGTAAATAGACGACGTATGTATATAAAATCTATTTTAATTCGTATTATCGCAGAATCGATACCGGTACAATATATATAAAAACAAATTCCTTAGAAAACACATCTTCGTATGTAGTAATAAACAGATTATCATTCTCGCGTTTGAAGATCGTAATATTCTCTGACATTTTTTTTTTCTTTCTTCATTGTGGCATTATTACTGTCTCGTATTAGATTTCCAAGACACCCCGTATATGCGTATATCCGTAACGTACTTACGTCCAGATATAGCACGTACGGGGAGCATTTCGAAGGTTGACGTCATCAAAGTCCCACCCCCTTTAAATTTGTGCTGAATGCAACTCTGAGAGAAAAAAAGAAAAAAAGGGAAAAAGAGCAAGAGGGAGAGACGGTGAAAGGGTGCGGAAGAAAAAGATAGAGGACGAAAAGAGAGGGAGACTCGCTCGTCGAACCGATGCCTTTTCCCTTCGACGCTCTCTGTTCTCCCTTATCCTGACCGTATATTCCTTCTCCCCTTCTGTCTTCCCCGCTGAACGGCAATCGGGGCGGAGTGGGCCCCCTCTGTAAAGCTCGCAACGGGTTTCTATTCTCGGATGTCAATATTTCGTCAACTAAAGCCCACTCGGCATGCAACAAAAGCCCCTACTACATACAGCTTGCGCGGCTGGCGTGAGAGAAAAAGAAAGGAAGAAAGACCCGACAGAGCGTCCGTGATTCGTTAGACGGCCTGTTTAGAAGAGGATGTAGCATAGCGAAAACGGGAAGTCCAGACGGGTGCGAATGCAACACGCCTAGCGGGAAACCGAATACGAAGCGTATTAAATCGCCGTTTATTATCACGCTTCGGTCAGGAACTTCAAATTCTCGCCATAAAAATATTTCCTTTACTCCGTATTGACATTTTTTTTTTTTTGAGGGGGGAAGGGAGAGGGGGCGGCAAAGAGAAGAAAGAGAAGACATATCGTTCAAGAGTACTTGTAATATGATATTTACGATATTTTACTAAAAAAGGAATGTGTAAAGGTACTCTTTTTAAAGATCCTTGAAAATATAAAAATCCAGCGATAGGTGGTTTACCGGTGTCCTTAATAATAAACAAATGTAGCTGTAAGTGGGTCAATGCCGCTTTTAGAAATACAGGAGCACTCGCTAAAAGACTAGCCATGTAATACAAAAAAGACATAGCCGTGATTAAAAATTAATACTATTATTCTTGAAATCGACAAAATGGTCGTTTCCATAAAAATCTAAGTATCCTTAAAAAAAAAAATCTGATAAAACTGATAAATATTTCAAACTCGAAGTATTCGTCTCGAAATTTAAATATAACGTTTATTATATGTAAATTACTGAAAATATTAATTCAATATCTTATAAAAATCGTTTCTACGTAATTTTTAAATAATTTTTTAAACTGTACCGTGTTAATAACTGTTATTCCGAAATCGTTCGCATATTCATGGGGACTAGTCTAAAGGCTGTTTCCCCATTTACAGAAACCGAGGAGGCGACTAATACTGGCGATGCGTATCGAGGTGGAAGGCGAATAATATCGAACGAGGAATCCTTGTACGAGATAAAATGAGCCTCTCACGGTCGTCGCGTGTCGACATATAATAGCCACGTTCTCCTCACTTGGTACACCGTGAACTC